ACCCGCCACCATGCCCGGCTAATTTATGTATTTTTATCAGAGACAGGGTTTCACCATATTGGCCAGGCTGGTCTTGAACTCCTGACCTCGTGATCCACCTACCTTGGTCTCCCAAAGTGCTGAGATTACAGGCGTGAGCCACTGCGCCTGGCCCAGCACACTTTTAAACATTTCCAAATTGGACAAAAAAAGATGTATAAGATCACAAAAGATGGCCCATCATTTTGTACCTACAGTATTCTAAGCAGAAGACAGGCAATAGTAATCAAATAGACAAAGCCCAATTTGGCATGAAAGTTAATTTTTTGTTTTTGGAATTAGTTTGTTAGAAAAAAAAAAAAAAAAAAGCCCAAACACTTGTGAGAGACCTGGAAACTTGAAGAGAGAAGGAATTACTGAGGGAGAAAGATGAGGAGGGATTTTCGGACAGAAGTCCTCGAGGTCTGACGAATGATGTAATGTCAAATGATAGACACTGACAAGAGTAGAGCCTGGCTCCTGTTCTTACGTTTTTCTCCACAGAAACATCAGGCTTTTTTCCACAGAAACATCACTCCCAAGTGATGTAAGGAAATGATAAAAATTCAGTAAAGCTAAATACACTTGTGGACCAAACTGAAATCTCTCGCCAAACTGCAAACTCTGAGAATCTCAAACATAGCTGTACCTTTGGAGTGTCCACACACTCTTCTTCCATGAATGCTGCTTCCGCCTGACAGCCTGATGCTGGAAATGAAAAGGCCTCTACGTTGGATGCCTGGGGGAGGAGGGTAGATCGCAGCAGCCTCATGTTGGGTGAATGCATGGTCACTGGGAGCCCCACAGTCTGTGCCTGTAAATATGGCAAGAACAGACAGTTTGGGAACATGAATACCTTCTCTATAAATACACAAAGTTCTAAGAATAAAGTAATTCTTCCTGTGGCAATTAAAGAATGAATATTTATTTATTGGAAACTCCAGAAAGATTTGGTGAAATATGTATACGGTGTAGGTAGTAAAGCAATCAGTTACTCTGAAAGAGGTTGTACAGAATTTCATTTCTGCCTCGTGAGGGGATGCTTAACTGTCATGCAGGTAACAAGAAAGCTAGCTTTTATGAGGAATCAAGAATCTTTCTAATTTCAATTCAACCAACCTATTTGTCTCTTTCTTTAAATATAATACCCAGACAGATAAAAGTCCCAGGAGCTCAAAACTGAACCAGGGACAGATATACACACCCCCCCCAAGTAACTACAATACAAGGGACGCTGAAGTCAGTGCTGTCTCTGCCCGCCCCACCTGCCTTTTTGGTGTAGGTGGGATGAGATACATTTATTGGCAAGGGTGTATGCAAAGAAGAAGAAAGGGAAGCAGCAGTCACGTGGAGTGATAGGAACATCTTCCTTCCTTCAAGGAGATGCACAGCCTGGACTCAGCCTGTTGGCCCAGTGGAAGAAGAGACACTGACTGCAAGCTATGTTTTTGAAGGCAACCTACTATAGAAAGCTCCTGATGGCTTGAAGTCTGTTCTCATGTCTCCTTTGTTAACTACTCTAGGGAAACAAGCATTACAAATGCTTCTTTTAAAAAATCATTTAAAAGAGAATCTTTCCTTATGACAATTGGCAAAGATTGATTTTAAAGCTGCCGAATGATCCTTTCATCACCATCCTTCAGAACTATCGGAATAATTTATTAGATGTGTTTTGAACATAACAGACACTACGCAACATCTGAGAAAACAATCATCATATGAGACTGTAAAAGGCAGAAGGACGGCTATATTTTACCAGCTATAGTTATTTCAAGGGATATAGGATGGTGAATTTTAAATTCAAACAAATCAAAGGGACAAAATGGTATGAGATTCTAGCTTCTCCTCTCCCAAGACCTGAGTTTGATTCCTGGCTCCATCACTTACAAATTGTGTGACCTTAATCAGGTTTCCTAACTTTTCTGAAACTTATCTTCTTCAATTATGAAAGAGCACAATGCCAACTTCACAGTGAAGTCAGGATTGTAAAAGGTAACGTGATGTGCTTAAGTTAGTAACATTAATTCTTTCTTTCCTCTTCTTCCTAAAGCCTCCAATTGACCACAAGAATGTAAGAATTAGACTGCAAATGAATGCAGTCTCGTTCAAAGATACTAACGGTTTCCAGTTAGAATCTCAGGTTGATGGTTTTCAAGGATGGGGGGATATGTTAGAAATATACTTTATATTTGAATATACTCTGAGTATATTTCCAACATACTTTATATTTGGTATATTCCAATATTAATATCATTGGCTATACTGTATAAGATAAAGTCACATTAGCAAAGTGTCAGTATGGTATGGATGCCCCCAAACAAACAAACACATCAACACACACACACACAAACAAAAAATTGCATGCCATTCAGAGTGTGAGAAACAAACAGCTTTCCTTGTATTGTCATTCCTCAAGCTTATATTGTGTGCCACTTCTGAGGTTAAACAACTTTTTCCTTTCAAACATCAGGAATTTAAATCAATTTATCTAGCTACTATGTAAAATTTTTATCTAGTCACTATGTAAAATTTAAACTTCCCACTAAAGTATATTTGCTACATTATTCTTACCCCCATCAATAGCTTTTCAATCAAAGGATGAAACTGAAGATTGATTTCTACTTCCCAACTTTATTACACTGCTCCTTCTCTATGAAGGCAGTCTAAATTATTAGGGCAAAGCATGACCGAGGATGTTGTATGGAAATGAGATGCCCATGTGCTAACTATGACACGATGCTCCTTCTCAGTCCCTGACTCTCACTAGCTCGGACACTTTAAATGGCTGGACGCTGCTGTGCCAGACCAAGTGTAGCACATTGTCCTTGATAGCGTTCATATCCTACCTGGACTGCTACAACTGACTGTGAACCTGGTTAGAAGAATAACGGATAGGATAAAGGAAAAATGCTTTTTGTTGTGGCAATCACTTCCTAGGAAATACGGTGGGTTTTCGGAATCTTGCAATCACTGAGGGGACTAAGGAAGTCTTTTTGGAACAAGACAGGGTATAAATATACAAATGGCATGCTCAGCATTACACAGCTGATTAGCATATATTAAATAAACAGATGGTCAATTAATATCCCAAGGAAGCAGATATTATCAAGATATTCTTTTTATTTTTATTATTATTATTTCTTACACAGAGTCTTGCTCTGTTGCCCAGGCTGAAGTGCAATGGCATGATCTCGGCTCACTGCAACCTCTGCCTGCTAGGTTCAAGCAATTTTCCTCCTCAGCCTCCCGAGTAACTGGGACTACAGGTGCACTCCACCACACCCTGCTAATTTTTGTATTTTTAGTAGAGATGGGGTTTCACCATGCAGGCCAGGCTGGTCTCGAACTCCTGATCTGATGATCCGCCCACCTTGGCCTCCCAAAGTGCTGGGATTACAGGTGTGAGCCACCGCACCCGGCCCAGACGTTCTTTAAGAGTGTCAGTATGCAATGGTTATGTCCAACCAATTGAGATAACTGTTTAGAACACATGTTTATTGCTCTGAATCTCTTTGGACTTTGTGCTTTCTAGAACCATTAAAATGACAATAATGTTCTTTCCTATGGGAAAATGGTTACTATCCCAATAGGTAAATACTTGTTATGACCTGAATTGTGTCCTGCCAAAATTCACAAGTTGAGCCCCTCACCACTAATGTGGCTATATCTGGAGACAGGGCCTTGAAGAAGTTAATTAAGGTTAAATGAGGTCCTATGGGTGGGGCCCTGCTCGCATACAGTGGGTGTCCTCATAAGAGGAGGAAGAGACATCAGAGATCCTTCTCTCCACACTTGGGCAGAGAAAAAAAGCCATGTGAGGACACAGTGAAAAGACAGCCAGCTACAAGCCAAGAAGAGAGGGCTCACCAGGTAGCAACCCTCATGGCACCCTCATCCTGATTTCCAGCCTCCAGAACTGTGAGAAAATAATTTCCGTTGTTTAAGCCACTAGGTCTGTGGTATTTTGTTGTGGCAACCCTAGCAAACAAGTCCAATGCTTTCCTATAGCTGTGAAGGGCAAACTCTAAACAGTAATTTAAGAATTGGAGGTAATTATTTCATTCTTGTTTGTTTACAGATGATGGAAACTTACAGTGGAAGAACTGTTAAAAACTAGTGGTTAGGCCAGGTGTTGTGCCTCACTAAATTGTGTGACCTTCATCAGATCCTGTAATCCCAACACTTTGGGAGGCCAGGGTAGGAGGATCGCTTGAGCCCAGGAGTTCGAGACCAGCTTAGGCAACATAGCAAGACCTTATCTCTACAAAAAATTAAAAAAAAATAAGCTGGGCATGGTGGTGTGCACTTGTGGTCCCAGCTACTTGGGAAGCTAAGGCGGGAGAACTGCCTGAGCCCAGGAGGTTGAGGCTAGAGTGTGCTGTGATTGCCACCGTGCTCCAGCCTCGGTGACACAGTGAGACCCCATCTCAAAAACAAAACAAAACCTCCCCCCAAACCCCACCAAAACTAGTGTTTAGAATTTATGGGAAAAAGATATGACATATTTTTTCTAAATAGTCTGAACTCAATGAGATCTAATACTTCCTGCATGTTATACAGCAAACATAAGCACTCCAGATCTAAAATGGGAATCCCACTGTTGTCTAAATAATAACAATGGGCACTGAATTTTTATTATTTTTTATTTTTTACTTTTTAGGACAGAACCTTGCTGTGTCACCCAGACTGGAGTGCAGTGGCATGATCTTGGCTCACTGCAACCTCTGCCTCCTGGATTCAAGCGATTCTCCTGCCTCAGCCTCCCACATTGCTGGGATTACAGGCACATGCCACCATGCCTGGCTAATTTTTCTATTTTTAGTAGAGATGGGGTTTCACCGTGTTGCCCAGGCTGGTCTCAAACTCCTGGGCTCAAGTGATCTGCTCGCGTTGGCCTCCCAAACTGTTGAGATTATAGGCGTGAGCAACTGTGCCCAGCCATAATGGGTACTTTGTAACTAGACTATGAACTTTTTTTTTTTCAATGGAAAAAACTTTTATTGAGACCCCACCAGCTGCAAAATCTGTTCCTGGCATTAAGCTCCTTCTTCCTTTGCAATTCGGTCTTTCTTGAGTGGTCCCGTGAATGCTTTCTTCTCCTCCATGGTCTGGAAGCGGTCATAGCCAAACTTGGAGCTGCTGTCAATGAACTTAAGGTCAATCTTCTCCAGAGCCCGCCGCTTGGTCTGCACCAGGAAGGACTTGTGGAAGGTAAGCACTTGCTTCTTGGTTCCCACCACACAGCCTTTCAGCATAACAAAGTCATTGGTTACTTCACCATAGTGGACAAAGCCCCCCAGAGGGTTGATGCTCTTGTCAGACAGGTCATAGTTGGTGGAGGCATTGTTCTTGATCAGCTTGCCGTCCTTGGTAAGGTAGCCCTGGCCGATCTTATAGATCTTGTTGATTTCAGTGCGGTGATGGTAGCCTTTCTGCCAAGCACATGCTACAGAGAAGGCCACACGGACAGGATGTCATGCCCCAATACAGGCCACCTTGCGCAGGCCTCGGTGGGTCTTGTGGTGCAGCTTCTTGGTGTGCCAATGACTGGTGACCCCTTTGTAGCCTTTGCCCTTGGTCACCCCGATGACGTCAATCATCTTGTCCTGCCCAAACACTTGGTTCATAGGTACCTGCTGCTCCAGCCTCTCACGGGCCCAGTCCAGCTTCTCGGACACGGTGCCTCCATTCACCTGGATCTCCATCAGGTGGGCCTTTTTCTGGCACAGAGGAAGCAGGTGCATCTGGGTGTGGGCAATGATGCAGATGACTTGGCAGTATTTCTTCACGCTGCTTAAGTCCTTCTCCAGCTGCTTCTTGCCATCCTCATCCTGCCATTTCTTGCAGTACTTAGTGAAGGACTTCTTCTTAGATTTATGCCAGTTCTTATAGAAATACCTTTTGCACTCATTGCTGATGTGCTCGGCGATGACAGTCTTGAAGGTCCGGAGGCCTCGAGGGGTTTCCATGTAGCCCACAATGCCCACAACCACCACGGGTGGCATCTCCACAATGGTCACAGCCTCCACCACCTCCTTTTGTTCACCTTGGATCCTGGCCTATTGACCTCCTGCACGATATGGGTCATGCCAGCCTTGTATCCCAGGAAGGCTGTGAGGTGGACCGACTTGGAAGGGTCATCCTTGGGGAAGCTCTTCACCTTCCCACGATGCCTGCTGCTGTGCTTCCGAGGCAGGAAGCTGAGGGACCCATGTCTGGGAGCAGAGAACTTCCTGTGAGACATCATGCTGTCAAATCCACCCGTTAGAGATCTAGACTATGAACTTCTTAAGAGGAGGGACTGTTTCCTGTTTACTTCTGAAGCCACAGTGGCTAGGACTGTGCCTGGCACATAAGTGCTCTATTTGCCTAACTGAACTCCTGGTACAGGTTAACTAATTTTATCTTGGTAGCCATCTAACAAAGTACGTATTGCTGTTCCCACTTTGTATTTACAGGCACAGGAGGTCAAAGATGCTGACTTGCCCGAACTCATTCAGCTTGGTGTGGAACCCGAGGTCTGCATGATTCCACGGCTCATGTTAACTTTGTATTAACTGAATCATGTTATTTTTTCAATTTCTTGCTACTATATCAAGAAACAAGTGATTTGCCACTTCTTTAAAAAAAATTAGAACATCAGAAGAATTAAAGTGAGAAGGCTTTACTTTAGGCACATTAATATCCATAAAAACCGAAATCCATTTTTTAACAAGTTCAACACTAAAACTCAAAATGTGAAATCTCTGAGGGGAGGGAGCCTGTTGCTCGGCATGCAAAAGGTTCTCAGGCAAGCATGTGACTGAGCACCGAAGACTCCATTTGAAGTAGATGCATTTTCAGTTACACTAAGTAGCTTCCATTGAGACTTGGGTCAATGCATCAAGTAAAAAGGACACAGAGTGCTTGGTAATTTAAAAAGTTATCAAACAGTGCTTAGTAATTTAAAAAGTTATTGAACATAAGAGCCATGTTATGTATCTGAAATCTAAGCCAAATTAAATAAAATTTGAGATATCCTAGGGAATTTGCTCATAGTCTAGACATGAAAGGATATCGTGTACAATAACATATGCACGTGCTCAGGAACAGCTGTTTATGTAACCCCTCACCACTCCCTCACTTGTGTAATGTTCAAGAAGAATAGACTTGGCAGGGAAAGCCTGCTGGCCCTGGGGGCTTTCCAGCTTCCTATCCTTTTGTCTAGTGGTATTTGCAAGAAGGAAAGGGTTCCATGGCATCTTACATGTTTTTCATTTTCTCTCCTTTCTCTGTCTTGAAAGCAATACCACTCAACTTTGAAGATTTCCAAGTGTTCAAAGATACTCTAACTCAAGTGTCCGGAACTATATTCGTAAATTATTTTACTCATATCTGTATCAATACTCACATTTTATATATAAAGCATGTATAACAAAATATACCATTTACCTACTAAAATTAAGATTTAATTTCCTTTTTAAAAACATACTCTGTAGATGCAAAATTTTATTATACTCCTGTAAATCTTGTAAAACTGCCAAAGAAATATAAAAGTAAAAGTCTTCTGCCCTTATTTTTACTTTGAACAAAGTCAGTTACTCATAGAAGTGGATAGGAATGTCAATAGAGCATACTAACCAACCATTCTTCTCAACCTCTACATGGATAATTCCCAAATCTCTAGCCCCAGCCTCTCTCCTTGGATCAAGATCCACATCTTCCTCCTATGCAACTGAGTTAATGCCACCCCTATATTCTCAGGCCCAGGCTCAAAAACAGTCATCTCTAAATTATGTTGTCCCTTCCTCCCCAACATTTATTTATTTCTTTATCTAACAAGCATTTACACAGCACTTACTATGTGCCAGGCATATAGTATTTCACAAATATTAACTAATTTAATTTTCACAGCATCCTATTATTATTTCCATTACACACCTGGGAAACCAAGGCACAAAAAGACCTTAAGAAACTTAAAATGTCACACAGCAGGAAGTGGCAGAATTTGGGATTTGCTCCAGAGTCCCTGCTTCTAACCACCACTCTGAGCTGCCTCTCCAAACCACTGCTAACTTCATACAGTCTACCTCTGAAACGGTTCTTATACTTGCCCCTTCTTTTCTATTTCCAACAGTGCCAACTAGTTTGTTTAGTTTCCAATTAGTTTAAGCCATCAGTATTTCTCATCTCTACTATAAAACTCTCCCAACCGCTCTCTCCAAATTTCTTTTCTCTACCTAACCCATCCTTCCTAATGCTACCAGATTAATTAGCTTAAAGCATGGATAGAATTATGTCACTTTTCAGCTTAGCGGCCTTCAGCACGTCCGTGTTGCTTCCCGAATTATAAGTAAACTCTTTACCTTGGCATTCAAAACTCTTCCAACAATGCTCCAATTCACCACTCACCAAGTCCTACCCATCTGTGGAGATCTGTCTTACATGCCATTTCCCCTGTTCAGATGTGCCCCCCCTCCCCGGTCCTTGGCTCTGCTACACCACTCATCTTTCCCTATTTTGAATGATGGTTGTTTATGATCTCATCTTACTTCACTTCTATAGCATGATGTCTCTGAGGTCATGACTGTATTTTACATATCCTACTCCCAACAGTGTCTAAGAATAGAAGCTCATGCATGGTAAATCTGCAATAAAAATCTGTTAAATGGAATTGAATGTACAGGCTAGTTACAGTAATTCTCAACATAGTAAATGATAAAAAAGTTTTTTTATCATTTAAATGATAAAAGCAGTTTTTAAAAAACTGCTTGAAATAAAGTTAATTCTTAAAAATGAGAGAGTGCTAAAACATCTGAGAATCTAGAGAATGACAGGCAGAAACTTTAAAGAAAAACAGAGTGTAGAGGATGAAATCCTAACCCTTTGGACTTTAAGATGAAAAATCTGTCAAACGTGAACAGGCACAGGCACAGATAAGACTGTCAGCTAAGGGGGCATCACCTTGGCAACTGTTTGCTCAGCAATGGTGCTAGGCCGGCGCTGGCGGCCATCAAGTCTCTGCTCCACTGGGAAACTGCTCCTATGTGATTTTAGGCGCTCCACCAACAAGAAATAAATGGCAGCAAAGTGGTTATAGCTCTTGTTCTGCAAAGACTGAAAGAAAAAAGAAGTGGTAAAGACAACTATAAAGACCAATGCAATGATCTATACATGCCTAAAAAAAAATAAAAGGAAAGAAACTGTGTGTTCTTAAAAATAGGGTGAAAACCAAAGTGTGCCTCAAGATGAAAGCTGCTCCAAAATTGAGACTGGAAGGCAGAAAACTTCAAGTCTCTAGAATTAATTATATAAAGGATGATCCCTTTAAGTGCGTTGACCAGCCCTTTTACATGAACAGGATCCATTTATTTTTCTGCCATCACATTGACATTCCCCAGTGTTGTCATACAGCCTCCTCTCATAGCTGTTAACGGGTAAGGTCAATTAGCAACCTGAGCCTGAGGCTCTAATTCCATAGCTTCAACACAAATCCAAACCATTACAAACTCTGAAGTGAATGGTTCAAGTATGTGGAGAACTTTCTGATGATTATTTTGGGCTGGAGAATGACATCTGGATGCTAAACTGAGAGACACTATGTCTCTGTTCTTAGGTAATTTTTTCCTCTTGTTTTTGCAGTCCCACCCTCTTAAAACCTTGAAAATAAAGTTGCTTCCCAAATGTTCACATCTCTAGCCTGCCAGCTTTCCCAGATACTGAGGGAACAGAGAAACAACTGCTCCTTTGGCTTCCAATTCCACCTGACAGTCAGCATGCGTGCTGTGCAGGGCACCAGGATGCAGGGCACTCTCAGCAAAACCCACAGGTCAGTGGAATCGGCACGCCCAGCTACTGCTCTGGATATACTTCATGGACAAGTACAGCGAAACATCACTGAGTGCACAGTGAGCAAAGCAGTCAGCGTGGTTTCACTTATGGCTACGTGGGTTGGGGGAAGGCAGCATAGTCTGGAGCCTTGGTCTTTCACAGGAAAAAAGGCGGCATTTGATATTCTTTCTTGTTAGGTTTCTTCCTCAAAAGCACCATTTGCTTTTTTACTATTGTAGCAGTATTAGAAATATGTATATCCTATAAGCATGCTAACTATTCGAGGACAGAAATAAAAGCCAAGAGGAATTTTCCAGGTTCATGACCTTTACAGTTCTATGACCCCTAATACTTCCAAATCAGGAGCCCACCTGTTTTTGCCTTCTTAGTTTCTCCAGTTCACAATCTAAATTCCCTGGCTTTCTTAAACCTGATACCTACCCTTCTTGTTTCCTGCTTGGCCCTTTGCCTATCTGCACATTTACGTTCCATAGAAACTAGTTAAATATCTATGTAAAACTTCATGCTTCACCTTGGAAGAAACTTTCTACCTTGTATTTGTTAAGCTTCCATCTCTGCCTTTTCTGGGTCTTTTATAAATGCCTCCTGTTGAATATTTTGGCAGATGGGGCAAAGAAAGGAATTTAAGAAGCTGGATAAAAGCAAATATAAATAGAGTCTGATGTCATCAATAGGGAACACTGGACAGTACGCCTAGGCGTTGGGGATACATGTGCTAAAAGACCAGGATGACAGGTGTGAGCATGAAATTTAAAGTAACTAAGTGCAGCAGAACCCTGAAATACCTTTAGTCAAATCTCTGATCACTTTACCTCAATGGTTTTCTGCTGATCTATTCCAAGGCTGTGCATCAATCGCAGAACCTGCTCATTAAACTCCCCGATGGATGGCTCATTTTCTTGCTCTTGTGGATAGAGAACAGGTCTCTGGACAGGAACTTCTATGAGCATCCATTTATGCTCCTTGATTTGAGCTATGGTTAGCCGTTTGGATGGATCTAGGACCAACATCCTTCGAATAAGGTGCTCGCAATCTACAGAAAACATAATGTTACAAAAGTCACATAAATCACCTTGCACTTCAGGGTTATCTACTTGACTCATGGGACTTTGTACAAGGTTGTTAATCTTTTATCTTCTACTGGAAAATGGAAGGTCAAATGAATAAATGAATACACACAGACTACTTATATTTGTCAAGTTCACATGGTGAACAAATACTTAAGAAAAAGAAGAGGGTGTAGTCTATCAGATTCTGGGCTAAATGAAACTTTGTACTGAATTTCGCAACTGAAAATATCTAGAAACAGAATTTGATTTCCACTAAAGCAATGAAATAAGCCTCATTCCTAGAACAAGCAAATAATAAATTGATCCTTGGTCATACCTAATGCTGATATACTAAGGCTATGTAGGAGAGGCAAAGAGCTCTCCAATGGGCTGCAGCTCTTCTCCACATCCCTGCAGCTGAGAAAAGTGTATGTAAAATATTATTACTTTGGATTATATACCAAGAAAACTACACTGCTGCAACTTTGAGCACTAGCATATTCTCTGAGTTGACATGATTCTCTTCACTCACACATAAGCTAACCTCCTGTTACTATAAGCCAGGCGCTATACTAGTGCTTTACATAGATTATGGTTATTAATTATTATTATTTTTAGAGACAGGGTCTCATTCTGTTGCCCAGGCTGGAATGCAGTGATGCAATCACAGCTCATTGCAAACAATCCTCCTGCCTCAGCTTCCTGAGTAGCTAGGACTACAGGTGCACGCCACCACACCTGGCTAATTGAAAAAAAAAAATTTTTTTTTTTTTGTTAGAGACAGGGTCTTGCAATATTGTCCAGGCTGGCCTTAAGAGATACTCCTGCCTTGGCCTCCCAAACCACTAGAATTATAGGTATAAATCACCTCACCTGGCTGACAGATTAATTAAACCTTATAATATCCCTAGGATAGGAGCTATTGTTATTTCCATTTTATAGATGGGGAAATTGAAGCACAGGGAGGAGATAAAACTTGTGAAACTCATATGGCCAGTAACTGGTGGATTCAGGATGAAAACCAGGCAGTCTGGTAGTCTGGCTTCACATCCATGCTCTTAACTATAAAGAATATTATTTCTCTTGTTAGTGGAAAGAAGAGTTAAGACTGATAACCAAAAATGAAACTAACGGGTAAACTTAACTGCTGTCTAGGTAACATCTCAATACATGACAGGCAGGGATTATGGCACATCATTTGAATTTAGCAGAGTTTTGCCAGTTGGCTTTTTATTTAATTAAAAAAATTTTAATTTTATAAAATCCATTTCATATTGGAGTAAAATGGTTGTGAATCTTTATCTACAAAGGCTTTGTTAAATCTAAAATAAACCTGGGACATTTATAGACCCAGAATGAATGAGAAGACATGCTGCCCTTAATCTGGGAAATGTTCTGTGTTCAGTTGCAAGTAAAGGCTGGAACTTGTCTCACCTACATAAAGGAGGTGGCTTATTTCTATTGCTTTTAAAATGACTCAGTCACTTTATTTGGCACCCAAACTCTTTGAAAAAATGAAACTTTTACCTAGGCATTTCACTTGGAGTACAAACACCATTAGTAAGATGAACAATTTGTTACCTTCTGACATGAAATATGGAATCCGAAATCTTCCTTCCAGAACCCTCTGCCTCAAAATCGGAAGCGTTGGTCCATCAAAGGGCAGAGCTCCACAGACAAGGACGTAAAGAACAACTCCCATACTCTAGGGAAGAAAACAATGCAGAGACTTTTCTACCAAGAAGGTCCAACTCTGTTTTCCTGAACATCCTCAGGGCTCTTGAAATCATATGGACTCAAAAATTCCTGTCTGAATTTATTATTTTTTCAGAATTTGAAAAAAATCCAAAACCCTGACTACTACAATAAGTATCTTATAGTAAATACCAAAGAAGTTGAATCTGATCATTTTGATTACTACTTAACTTTAAATTACTGCTGATATTAGGATGATAACACCAATCCTTAGAAATTCTTTCCTAGGGATCCATTTCAAGATGTTCTGACTAATTATAGTCCAGAGGATGGGGAAAATACGAAATACTGCTTATGTGTTAAGTACCAGGAGCTTCTAAGATGGGCCAGAGCACCAAGTATTATCATTATAGATGCATTTAACAACACAGCAAAGCAAAGCAGTACCCAAATGTCCAGCTGTGGTCCTTCATACTGCTGCCCTTCAAAGACTTCTGGGGCTGCATAAGGGGGGCTGCCACACCATGTTGCCAGCAGTTCACCAGTTTTAAAGAAATTTCCAAAACCGAAATCTATTGGAATGGAAATAAATGTTACTTTCATCTATGCTCTCAAACTATTCTGTAATAAATTTTATAATATGCTATATTAACAATATCACTACTATTTACTGTGAGGACTGGGATGGCATCTATGTTGTGATGTTTCCCTAGCATTAGCACAATGACTAGCAAATAGTAAGTCCTCAATAAATGTTGCTGAATAAATGTGTAAATGAATCAAGTTTTCTTCCCAAAGAGAGTAAGACTTTATATCATGAGTGTTAAGGCTGAAAGAAAATCAGCCTTAAAGTGGACCACCAACTAGAATTCAATAATCTTAGAACTTCAATTACGCAATGACTGCTAAAGAGCTCTTTATCTTAAATGGTCTATAAGGAAAGAAACAAATGAGTAAAACTCTAAGATATTCACCTAAACACAACCAAGTGACTGGCTGCCATTACCCCAGATATATTACCCTTTAAGGCAACTGAGTGTAGTGTTTCGCAAGTAACTACCTTGCAAGTAACCACCTTCTAAGTGTCAGTCCACATATCCTGTTTTAGGCAGATACCCATCTGAATAGCTCATTAACGTATGATAGCTATATAGCCCAGCCACAAGCCACTTATCACCATTACTTATTTACTAATTTATAGATTGCAGTGGCATTATAGTTTAAAACAGTTAATGGCCTTCTCCTTATAATCTTAGCTATACTGAATCTACAGTTTTGATACACAGAATACACTCTGGAAACACTACTCAGAGGCCTTCAATATGCATTTAAAAACTTAGTAAGTATTGTTGTAAACAC